ATGCGGCTAGGGGTACGCGATGCCTAACTAACTAGCCACATAGAGCCTACGTCGATAATACCAGACAGCTGAACGCTCTTAACCGACGCACACCACTAACATGCGGCTAGGGGTACACGATGCCTAACTAATCCATCCATCGGTAACGGAGAAAAGGCTCAAAATGGACGTCTTGAGATTTTGGAATATATTGGTCGTTTTGAAGTTTACATATTTCCTTCTGTGAGGCGCATTTTCTTCTTCGTGAGGAGCGTTCATTTGGCCGTTGAAGTCCTGAAATGAGAGGAACATATAATTCAGGTTATCGAAATATCACCATAAAGCGGGCGGCCGACAAACAGGTAGAGATACTTACCCGAAAATTCACTGCAGCGGCTATGCTGTCGTAGATGCCTGTTCACATAATGCGATCCTCAGCGGTTATTTCGCATGCCTGTTTACTGCAACTCTCAAGAAATACGAGACTTACATGTAATGCATAGGATCTCATTACCAGACAAACTTTCCGGAGCCGATGGATCACATGAAATCATCTTCATCTCTTTCATCTAGCCGGCGCTCTACAGAGTTAGTCGTAGTTGTCAGACAGACTCACGGCCGTCGAGTAGTTCCTCTGTGGACCCGAAAACACGGACGCACACGGACTTACGGGACACACTGTGCTGGGAATCTGTGCTTCGGTCCAGGTCAACATCATAAGACGCCCTTTTTGCGGACCGGATAGCAAGCACACCTCTGCGTTTTCTGGATGGGCCCGGAGCTAAGAACCCAAAGTGATTTATTTTCATGTGGACTCACCTATGGGACAAGCCTGAAGCGCACCACCACACAGTGGGCAGGGTTCACCGTCACAACAGTCGGCGTGATATGACACGCGATCCGTTGTACACCAGCGGTCACTGGTAGTAGTAGGCCGGTCACAGAGCACACAGAACCCCAAGTCAGCGTTTCCAGACCCCCATCTGGGTTGAGGCGCAGTATCCTCGACCACCAACGGCAGATCGTCGGTTGCAGACTTTGAGGCTTGACGCAGCAGGATTTCGCCCTGAACAATCAGCCGCTTAAATATGGCGGTGGCCCTCCTGGGTTCCAGCCTCTGAAGCTTATCCATCACCCGATTCAGTTGCTTACGAAGACCGTCGAAAGCTGTCGGGGGTGGTTTGGGAACAAGTGTAAGTGGTACACCTTTTCCCGGTAGGTTGTAATCTGACAGCCATCGTTGGTGGATTGGAAAGCAAGCTAAGAAAAAGTCAATGATGAATAGTTCTTACTGCTCGGAACGGACTGATCTCGAAATACAGAGAACAGGTGCACACAGGGGAGCCACATCGCCTGGTAGAAAGGGCACGTGCATTCTCCAGCACAGGTGTCGACAGTCTGGGAGCATCTAAGTGTTTGCACCACAAACTATGAGTTAGTTTACGGAGCTCGACCTCACCTTGTTTGTTTCGACACTTTCATACGGCAGCCGCGGCGGTCGCGGACCCAAGTGTCTCAAAACGAGAGAGCATGCATATGTCGTCATTCGACAGACTACGTTTAGAACGTAGGCGTCACCCTCCAGGATTTGCCGCCTGTCGCAGTGGTACGACGTATGCATCTCAAACTCCCGCATGAGCCACTCGGCGTGCCGGGACACCTTTTGAATGGCATGCTCCAACGTGTCGGAGTGGTGCACCTGATCTTTAAGGCGCCCGTTCGCATTCTCCAGTCGGTTGTTGGTCACATTACCGAAATGAACCATTCCGGACTGTGCGTGTATGGCCCATTTTCGGGTGATGTACAACCAGCGAGCCGTAAGATAGGAGAGAAAACGGGGGTCGGTTCGACGCAGAAGCTGTAGATCTTGTCGGAATCTGTGTGCTTGTAATATGATGAACATAAAACCTACTGTACAGCATTGTCCAGGCGAGCCATGCGGTGAAATATGTGCCGGCTGTTCGCAGAATGTGTCTGTGACCATAAATACATGGATATTAAATGATACATACGTGCTTCCTGATGGCTTTGCGGACGTGAAAGTAGCAAAGCATAATGTCACAGCCGAACACTACTCTTGCCGCACGCATTTGCGCCGCCAACTTGTCCATTACGAAGGTCCTGACCGGATACGCTTCGCCCATCATTTCTTTGAACAAGCCGAACAGTTTACGCATGGGAGCAAACTGCTCGCTCTCTACGAACGCATACATAACCGGACGCCCGGTTCCCATGCCGTCCGTTATCAAGAATGTGTATAGTTTATATCTAAATACCGAATATTAGATGCTTTAAAAAAACTTACCCAAGGCGGTTTGTTGCATGTGTCCCGTCCACATTCACTACGTCGGGAAAGCGTCGGAATAACGCTATCTGCTGCCATCGGGAGAAACATATGTGGCTATAGTGACCTTCCTCTCCCTGACACACAAGAACGCGTCCGGTCTCCCGAAGTTTTGCCAGGACCGAAGGCATATCATCTGCTACATTAAAACCCAACCATTAGGCACCTACTCAACATAGCCGGTCGACACTTCCGGCGGTAGTTGTGTATATCCTTAGTTGTAAGAATCTTTCCGAATTCATCCGCCACAAACTGCCGCACCTCAGATGACGGCGTTCCATATCTCAGCAGGGCCTGGCATGTGCCCAACTCGTCTTCGGTTAAGCGTCGATTGACTGGAAGCCGATCGTAAAGAAACTTTGACAGTTTGTGGTTGTGTTCCAGAAAATAAGACGTCACTGCCAGTTGGTTCCTTTGCCTCCGTAGACAAAACCGCACTGGGCAGCTGGTGCTTCGCGTACTTTTTTTATTAGAAATTACGCTCGGCTTACTAGCTTCTTCGGATTCCACGGCTTTCCGTTTTTCTTGGAGGGCGCCTGCTGCATTTGTAGTACACCCATTCGTAACGCAAAATAGTGTTGGTGCTTCGATTACTGGATGAACGCACAAATATCACAAAGTTATCCTTCATGTATTGATTTAAGGTCTTCTCAAATGCCGTGAAGGATGAAAACGATACACCCACAAATTTCTCAACGAAAGCCACTTCCGAAGCCATAGCAGACGAAGTTCAAAGCCGAATGTGCGCCAATACCGAATGTGCGCCAATAATTTTCAAATGTCATCGATTAAAACAAATCGCAAAAAAATAACGGCAGATGAGGGGGGTTTTCAGTCTACGCATATTTGCTAAGAAGTGCAACATTTTGACGTTAAAGTTTTTATTTCGTCCGCAGGCGTTTTGCAGAAAAATACATTGTGCGTCTAGCCGCTGGCTCCGTAGCCATAGCAGACGAAGTTCAAAGCCGAATGTGCGCCAATAATTTTCAAAAGAGATCGATTAAAACAAGTCGCAAAAAATGACGGCAGATGAGGACGGTTTTCAGTCCACGCATATATGCAAAGAAGTGCAACATTTTGACGTTAAAGTTTTTATTTTGCCCGCAGGGGTTTTACAGAAAAATGCATTGTGCTTCTAGCCGCTGGCGTATTGAACATCCTCCACCGATCAAGTCCCCTTGGAGCACATCCAGTAAACCAATCAACTTAGCCTTGTCTGTTGAACCAATCAATGTACACCTGTGCGCCGGACGTTTGTGTATCCGTGCGCTTGATTAGTTGTACTTATGGCTTTCCATTAAACTGATGATGGGCTTCTTAGTCTTGTAGTAATTAAACAAGCTGAACGCACCAGCTACTGGGCACCATACACTAACCCAGTTACAGACACGTTCTACTGGGTGTAATCTGCCCTGAGCACATTAAAATGGCTACTTAAGTAGAATGCGACATTTTCCTAAACTCTACCAGAGAAGTATGCAGGCTGCTTGCTTATGTGTCCGAATGTAATGTTCCTCACACTAATCTACAGTGTACTCTACGTGATTTTGTCATCCCCTCATCCATGCTCGGTTGTTGAAATCCTACGGTACCTTTCATAAACTACTCATAGGTCACAAAAATGAAAAGTGGAAAAGTTGTGGTAATAGTGACAGTCTGATGTAAACTGCTTAAAAACACCAATGTGCAAACACTTGGGACTTCTTAGACCGAAGCGACGGTCTTCAGGCATCATCGTCATCATCATTGTCAACTGTAATAACCGCTTACTCGTCTTACAGTGGTTTTAGCTGCCGCAGTTTTGTTCACCGATGATTTGGGGTGGAGGGGGAGGTAGCTGCGCATTGCAGGCGGGAGCTGATAAATTGGTGCATAAATCCAGCACTCTCAGTGGGCTGTCAAGTGGAGAGGGGGTTGGAAAAGGAGCTATGCATTGAAGGCAATAGCTTTGATGCACGAACGCCATTGAGGGCGCGATTGGGCCATATCTGACAATGTCTCTAGCCATTGATGCATGCGGAGTACTTGTCCTAACCGGCGTAACCTATGAAGCGTGAGTAATTCATCTATCGCGGTAGAGTCCCTTCCTAGATCCATCCGGCATACCTCAGCATTGCTAATCCGATGTTCCCACCAGACCTGACCAATACTCCTGAGGCACCGATGGCCAAACACTTACATCTCCCGTACATCCTCTATACGTAGGGTCCACATGTTTTATCCTTAAAGCGGTATCTATCGCACCATTGCAGTGTAAACTCTGGCGTTGTCAGATGGTCAGACGTTACTTTGGTGCCATAGGTGTCGGAGGTTGGCAAAGGCTTCCCTGATCTCCCCTATCCGAGAAGTAATCTCATCTCCAGCCAGTCCACCAGAACTCGTACAACTGTTCAGGTAAACAAACTGATGTACTACGTCGGTCAGCTCGTCTTCAAGCATGAGGTATATGCTTGATCCCACCCAATCTTGTAGCTGCACTTTACACTTCGTAGGTGTGAAGCGCATGCCAAGCCGTATGACAGTGTTATTTCGGTTATTCAACATCGTCCGCATTTGTGAAGGATCTGAACCAAGAAGAGTAATATCGCCTGCATACCCAGTATCTATGAGCGAACGTCATTGGAGCATTTCGGCTCACGAGGTTTCAGAGACAGGCAGATAAATTTCAAGCAGCATATCAATGACAAAGTTGAAGAGGAGAGGTGGAATAGGATCTGATGATTGTTTTAGTTTGTTTTTCTGGGCGATAGTTGAGACGGGGAACGGTGGCTAGGGGATTGACAGATGGGTTGATTGAATTGCATTGTGAGATGGGTAGAGAAGCAGTGTGGTAGAAGGCTGGTGTGCGAAGAGCTGCAAGGGCAAATGGTACTTCCATGTTGTCCAGACTGAAGAAGAGGGTTTAGTTGAGGTAACCCACCGTGGGCTTTTAACTCAAAAGTCTGACCCACAAGACAGTGGGAGGATATAGCTTTTGTTCGGGCTCCCTGCCCGTAGCCTCTGTCAGAGGCTCATATCATCATAGATGATGATGATGAGCCTCTGGCACAATGGTCTGACCGGGAGGCAGTGGTTCTCTTGGGGACCCTTTCCGGAGCCACTGACCTATAATCTGACCCACTTAGCTGTAGGGGGCCGGCTTAGTCCGAGGGCACAGGGAATATGCCATTACTTTCTCACTCCTACTTCAGCTGCACACAGGAGGTGCCTTTTGAGCAGCACCAGA